TATATCATTTGCAAATATTACAAGTATATTTTATCTATAATATTTTATTCTCTAAATATCATAATAATTTAAATGTAGGTATTAATATAAACACTCGTATAAACATTAAACTATGTAATTACCAATTAATGTAAACAAAAACAATTTGAATAATAATTTTTATGTAAAACATTTTTTCCAATTTTTATGTAAAACGTTTTTTTCCATTCTATTTTGTATTACAATTTAAAGAAATATTAAATAATGTAGATAAATAAAAAAGTAATTGAAATTTATTTATATGGCAGTGTTAACTATATCTTGTCTTATAATACTAGATCCAATACACAAAAACCAGTGCTTTATTTAAAAATGTATCTCGATAGATTTACAACTACATCATTTTTTTAATTGGGCAGCGAAGGCATAAAAAAAAAACAGATGCCAGAGGGAAACTACAATTCGCTGAAGTAACTGTTGCATTTTAATGTCGCAGTTGAACCCACCAAAGTTACGCTCGTTTAAAAATCCGGAACGTTCTTCGACCTTTCATTATAAAGAAGTTGACGGTTTTTTCACGACCAAACCACCGAAGTCACCGTTCGGATGCAGAAGTTTCATCGGCGAGTTGCAAAATTCTTGAAAAGTGCGAATTATTTCGAGAAAAGAATGTATCTATTCATAACGCGCGTAAACTCAAAAAAACGGAAGTGCTGAAAGAAGGAATAACTTCGCTATTGCATATTTTCCCTGCTATAACCTGTTTTGTTAGGGAATTGTGCTAGAAAAAGAAATTGCAAGGATTATTGAACTCACGAATACTTTTTTACTGTATTTCTCTAGTTCTTTTTTCTACCATAATATAGTCAACACGAAGAAAACCTTTTCCGTATATGTTATTGTAGACAAAGTTTGTACTTTTTACATTGACTAAAATTACCGTATATATTTTTAAAATTACTAATGTATATGTACAATTACTGTTTGCACTTAAAAATGCGCTAACTGAAAGTTAACAAAAATATCATTTATAATTAATTAAGCACGCATAGTAGTGGTTTTAATAGATTTCACTAATTGTGATGATTACACCCTATATTAATATGTAATATACAAGCAGGGCTGGACATGTATTTGAAATACTTTTATTTGAAAAACATTATTAGTAAGACAATTATATTTTGTATTTGTTAGGAGTACATGAAAATATTTTGTATTTTGTGTTTTATGGGAGCATATAAAAGTATTTTGTATTTTGTATTTCAGTATTAATAACAAAAGATTGAAAGTATTTTGTATTTTGTATTTCAAATACTAACATACACACACATTGACAATCAATCTTATTATTTGAATTACAAAATACAAAAAGCTTTCAATCTTTCGATTTCAAATACAAAATACGTAATACTTTTATGTGATCCGGTGAAATAAAAAATACAAAATATGCTTGTACTGCAAATAGTGTGTTTTAAATAAAAATATTTCAAATACATGCCAGCCCTGTATACAAGTAGTCGTTATACACAAATAGTCATTATAAAGTAGTCGTTAACATATTTTAAAATGGGCATTATGCCTGTTGGAGAGATATATACTCGAAATAGACTATTAATTTAATATTCTGACTTTAAGCATTAGATTAAAGCGAACAAAGCGACTTCATCAAGAGTCGAATAATTTCTGCATCGACTCCATAGTAATCGACATTGATGCTCGTTCGCAGATGTGAATCGTATATTTGCGAAAATGCGGAAATTAGATTTACTAACCCCTCGTTTCCAGAAAGTGAGACTAATCAACTATTAGCCCTCCACGTGTATCAGCCTGTCGAAGTTCAAACACGTGTAACGAAGGTTGATGTCCTCGTTTTTTCTCATTCTTGTTCCTTCGTGATAAGAGAAAATTTGTTGGAATTGGTTCTACACAAGTAGCGAAATAATGCGAGGATCTCTTTGTGTGGAAAATTATCCTGGAGATATGAAATATTTATTGCGAATAAAATCACGATCAATCATCAGACAATTGAGCTTTTTGAAGAGACCTCTGCTATCGATTTGTAAATATTAATACCAATTACTCATCGCAAACAGTACCGATACTCGAGAATTTAAAGCCGAAAGGACAGATCCTAATTAATCTAAACATTTTTTTTTTAATAATAATCATGATTCTCTTTTAATTTATATAAAAACATAAGAAAAATAACATTTTTGTGTGTTCTTTGATCTAGGTTTCAAATTATTACGATAAAGTAACAAAATCATGTTACTAGATTTATTTGCTTCCTGGTTTCTCGTGTCGATGATATAATTCTCTTTTTAGACATTTTAAACGTACATATTCCTTTAATAACCAGCTTGTATGCGGAAATGTATAATTGGACTTTTCTCCCATGCGGCACAACGCAAAAACTCACTACCGTCGGCTGACCTGCATTTTGCGCTGAAATAAGAGCATCATAACTCTACGAGAGAAAAGTCTCATAAATAGCTAAAACAGCGCGATCCGATAGACATAAACGATTTACCAATAACGTTAGCACATTTATTCATACGCTCTCGCCTACTCCATTCAGAAATCAGCTTTCCATAAAAAAAAGAACGAGGTTTTATGTTTGAATGCAAAGCGAATATTAATATTTTTTTAATTATTGAAAGCACATAAATACATAAACTATCAATCAAAATATAAACTTAAGCTGTTTACAATAAAACCGAATTATTTAATGGATATTATAATATGTAACATATATATTATCATATTTTATACACATATTTTATATATGTAGCAATAAGAGAAAGTTATTAGTAAACTTATTATTTGAATTATAGAAATTTTAAAATCTTTTTTACCATAATATCTAGAATTATTTGTAGTGAAATTTTCTTAACATTATTTGCTAATTTTCTAGTTAAGATATGCAGATTTTTAGTTTTAATATCGAGCATAAGATGACAACAAATAATTGAAATGATCGTTGTTTATTTCGTGCAACAGCAAAACGATTTGAGCTGCATATGTGCCTGCTTTGGCATTTATGGGGGCATTTATACTGACTGGTGGTTATATAACGGTACAGCAGAGGTAGTTAGGGGTGCGATACTATCAGCGGAGGCGCCTCCAATCATTCCCCAATTAGCAGCTGATTGCGTACAGTCCCCGATAGAACTTCGAACAGCTATAGCTTCGGTTAACTGAGAACCCTGAGAAGAGAAAGAGAGAAGAAGGGAGAGAGAGAGAGAGAGAGAGAGAGAGGAGAGGGGGGATGAGCAGCTCTATATAGAGTGGAAAGGAAGATAGGTTTGGAAGTAAACGACGGGTAGAGGAAGGGGCGATTTGCAACGTTAATATCCAACGATGCGAAACGGCCCGGGCACAATATCGGTGATCGCGCAAATTGCGATCGGCAATGGCGATCTTTATACACGGACTCGTGCGAGAGATAATATAATGGTGTCATTAAAGATAGCGCCGCCATTCCACGATCGTATTGTTATTGGAAAATCGTCCGGCGCCGCCATCCTTTGGGGGTTAAGTCTCATTTTTATAGCTCGCTGCTTGATCTCCTCTTTATAGTTATATAGATGGATGATGGATTCCGTTGAAATTTTCATTTTTGCAGTAATAACTGATTGAAAGATCTAGCGAAAGAAAAAGAGGAAAATATTATTAATATGTTGTTAATATGTTATGAGTTTGCAATAATTAAAATTGTTACAATGAGAAAAGAGTTTTGTTGCATTAATTTTAGTTGAAAATGAACAAATCAGAATTTTTGTGATTGAATTTATTATAATTGATAACTTATAGAATTCTGATTAATGTGATCAGAATATTCTGGTTCATTTTCTCAACCAGAATTTTTTTTAAATGTGTGTTCTTGTTCTTTTATGTTTAAAATCGTTTATTAGATTTAGGAATTATTCAATGTAATCAATAAGCAAATGCAATCGAATAGAAATATTTGAAAATATCTAAAAATATCTAAATATTTGAATGTAACATTACGAGATATATATATATATATATTATTTTTTTATAGCTGTCATTTACGTGTACTTCTCGATCGGGAGTCGAACGTATCATAGTCACATTCTAGTACACTTCATGTACAATAGTTATCGTTATCGAAAACTGTTTTCATTTCTATCAAATTCAATTAAACAAGCCTGAATCCTTCTACATGGAGATAAATACTATCGTGTTAGAAAAATAAATGACGAGAGGTCTCTGCAAACATCAGTTTCGACGGTTTGATTAATCTTGAATCTCTTGTTAGCGGTGATCTCGTCGGTTTAATCTTTTTTTCCATCGACGCCAGACAGAATTGCAAATCAAATTTTGTCAAAAATATACGTTGCTTAAAAAATAGTAGAAAATGGAAGAATAGAAAAACTCAATTAATTCACTGTATCACAGAGAGAAAACAAGAAAAAGTATAGAAAATCTACCATTTATATAACAATTTCGATCCATCGACGTATTAAATCGTCCACATTTTCCCAAGAATATCTCTCTCTCTCTCTCGCTATAATATTTTATTATAAATTTATAGTCTCTAAAAAATGTAATATGAATTCTTATAGATTTGGCAATAGTAAAATTCGATATTATGCGGATACGATAAACATTGATAATTGTTTCGTGAACATAAACGTTTACTCATTTTATTGAGAAAAGAGGAGGAGCACCACTTTAATTGCCACATCGTGATAACTCAACATCGGCACTTTGTGCATAACATTTGAATAGGCGATTAGTCACATCAAGCAGAAAAATGGAATAATGGCTGAATGGAAGGGGAGAGAGAATATTAAAATGCCGAAAATAGTATTGCGCCTCTAAAAGGCGCTAACGACAACCCTTTCTCGTTAACGTTCATTTTCTCTTTTTTGGCGGATTATTCATTGAATTTGTTGTCGTTTAATCCGCAATGCAGTCGAGTGAATCTATTTTGCACCTCCTCCAAATGTTTTAAAGAAAGATACTGCATTCTAATCGTTTTTTGTGTGTTGCAGAGTTTGGCGACCTAGCCGTTGCGGCCCATTATTCTTCGGGGACCGATAGCGATGTTGACGGCGACGATGACAGCGTTGTCATCAGTGACAACGGTGGCAGCGATAAGGAATCGTCTGAACAAGAAGACCACCACGTGCCAACGCGGAGGCAGCTGGCCGAACAACGATCTCGACACGAATTATTCAGACGGTCTCGAAACCACTTTAAGACGTCGGGACATCACGATCAGGTGCGTCCGATGGCACGACTCGTCGTCACTTAACGGTGTCGTGTTGGAGAACAAGAGTGGAGTGACGATACTGAGAACATGTTGAGTGCCTACGGCCGCGATCGAATGATAAAATACGTTCGTTAAAGGTGGTGATACGGCACTGAATTTTTTTACAAATAATCTTACGAGAGGTAGAGTTATGTGATTTCGATTCGAAATGCTGCGACAAATGAGCGATGTAGCGAGAGCAATTTATATTGTGAGTTGAGAAAAAATTAACAAGGGAATCGTCGGAAATGTTCCTCACCGATTTTAATGGATTTTAAAGCTTGATGTTGTAGAGCTTCAAAAAATATTAGACAAATATATTTTCTCTACCTGCTTATTTCAGGATTTAAGAATCGAAACAATCCTTTAGAATGGAGTAAATTAAAAAATTTGATATTTTCGAAAAATATGAACACACCGTTAAGAGTATAAAATAAACAGTATAAAAAAAACTTTTATATATAAAACATTTTTTTTTCATATATCTTACAGTTTCGAAGATATTCGTTAAAAATGAAAAAAAAATTGTTATTTTTTTGAGGGGTTGAATCTTGAGATAGGCAGATAAAAGAACATGCATCTAATATTTTTTAATGCTTTATTACATATCTAAAATCTATTAAAATCGGTAAAGGATAGTTCCGACTTTCCTTGTAAGTCAAGGCTTTACATATGTGTTGCATTTTAAAAGATTATTGGATTATAATGCGCTTATTCGAAAATATTATCGAAAAATCTCACGGCGGCAAAACTTGGTTTTCTTTGTATTATTTTCATGCTTTAATTTCACTAATTTCACATTTTCAAATATAATTTTATAAAGATTTGTCTATAAATAAATTACATGATATCACCGCCCTTTAATTGGGAGACACAACGAATCATTTCGTATAAAAATAGAAATTTTAGTTTTATCGAACTTTCTTTATTCACATTGCAGTATCTTGTTACATGTGACGTAGGCGCGTACATTTTACGTCATGTTCAGGAAATTAACCCTTCTTCGCTAACACCTTCAAAGAACTTCTTACGAGTATATACGAAGAAAGAACTACGATACAATTACGCGGAAGAACACGAAGTATTTTCGAAAGCGAATGTTTCCCTTGAAAATATATCGAACCGAGGTAGTATACATTGCGGCGCATGAACACGGCGAAATGTGAAATTAAGGAAACCTACAGATGGAGCAAACGAGAAAAATAGAACTTCGCGAACTCCCGTCGGTCACGCACGCGTTTTCGCGTGTCCCGAACAAATTACGACGATATTCTTATGTATTTATATTTGTCTCTCTTGACGTTTTGTTTCCGCGATCATCACACAAATCATACAAATTATCGCAATTCCTTCCGCGAATCTATTCTACGCGACGTAATGGCGAATACCCAAGCAATTTCGGGAAACGTGCGGGTATAACACTCGGTGAAAAGAACACGCAGAAATGTTCACTGCCACTCTCATTCCAGCCGCATTAATTTACGTAAATTATGAGTTCCCGGTCTCTCGTAAATAAATCCTAATTAGAAACAGATTTTATATTTCCATATTTTACATTTTTAATCAAGATAATATTTCACATAAAAAGAACATACATTGCATATCAAACTATATCTCACTTTCCTATTTGCAGTACTTTGATATTGTCAAAAAAACGAGAGAAAGAGAGAGAGAGAGAGAGAGAGAGACACACATCCTGTTTCCTTTCAAATTGTCAAATACAACGATTCGATTTTAAAAAATTTACTTCATCATAATGTTAACGATAATCATAAACGCGATATCGGATCGTTTATGAACATTTCACAAGCCAAATGTCATTTTCTGATTATTGGTTTCTTTGTTCCTGAAACAAGAACACAGCAAGCGTATAGAAATTTATTGGATGTCGGAGATATAACAGAAATGTTAAACGGGAGAGAAGGAAAAAAAAGCCAGAGGGAAGCCGTCCAACAAAGTAGAAAAAGTCGATTCCCCGACGACTCGGACACGCGTCATCGCGTGTCCCGAACAAATTAGCGATCCTTGACTCCGCTATGGCTGATTTATTCGTCGCGGTATGCATCGTCTGACGAATTATCTCCGTCCTCGTCGGGTACGCGGGCCGAGGATTGAATATGTGCAAAAATCACCGGCAACAGCACATAAAAGTTTCGCAAACGGAAGTGCTTTAATCAATTCTCCGTCAGCGATAATAGAAAGTAACTTCGGATGGTGACTCTTCGTGCTAATTTAAATTAATAGCAACCTCGAGTGAAGCTGTCGATACATTTATTGATCATCTTGATTATCTCGATATTATTTTTACTAAACCCCGATTTAATTATTTTTTTATTCATTGTTATCTTACGAAATTCCGGTTGCTATTCTTATTGGATATCTGTACGCGCCGTTTTGAACTGAAGCATAACGAGCAGAGATTAACGAGACTAACACACTAATGATGGTAACGTTAATTACCGCCTCACACAAACCGTTTAATCGTGGAGTGAGTGGATGCACTAATTAGGCGCTGTTCGACAATCCAGCAAATCTCAATTCAGGATCAAGAAATCGTAGAACCAGAGATTGAATTTCTTTTAAAAATATTTGTTTGGTGCGCACAAAAATTCCCTCGATCCATCAATATGACTTACAATTTGTTAGCAATTATTTAAGCAAGATTTATTTTACTTAATCGCCATTAATGCGCGACCGAAGGATTTTTTAATTATTGTTCCACTGTTAATTTGTCGTACAGTATTTGCTTATTCGTTTTAAATAGCAAATATTGTAAAAGTGATTAATAAAATGAAATTCACAAGTCAAGAATAATTACATTGATTTAATCTTTCACAGGATTAAATTCACGGGCGCACGAATGTTCAGTTTACTGGCTATTTAAATAATGTAGAGTTCGTTTAATATGATACACGATCTATTTCATATTGCCGTTACATGATTAGCAGAGGATTGAAACAGGTCGCATGCATTTCATATTATGCACATTTCATGTTATACACACCAGGGAAAATGTTGCATCAGCCTCGTCATGGAGCTTTTGTATAAAATATAGCGAAGTGAGTGACAAATGTGAAAGTGCACTAGATATTAATCGAAATAAGCCACTTATTAAGATCCGAAATAGCATTTTATAAATTAATAGCGCTTGTCGATAAACGACGTAAACAAATATCGTTGGCCTAAGTAAGGAGCGATGCAACGCTTTCTACGTGTGTATACTTGTGTATAAGTGTGATTGCGTTCGCTATTACTTTTACCAGTACCGTACATTAAAAAAAAATTTGTACAAGAGCGCTAATTGTAGTATTATATAAGACGCCGCGAGTTTTTCATCGACATGTACAAAAATGCTTTCCTCCTCAGCCGACAAGCGGATTTTCGAAGATGTTGCACGCACGTGACGTCTGTAGATTCGACTTTCGATAAGCGTTCAAAGACACGAAAGAACACGGCTAGAGAGAGAAACACGGTGTTGCAGTCTAGATTTACGATAGATAAACGAGACACTTAATTCTTAAGATAGAGAGTTTCCTACATAGGTGACATGCGAGCGAAATGCGCGCCGAATTTGGTCGCTTAAGGCAGACACCGACATATCCCAATCGGAACAAAAAGTTATGATGACATCGAAATGACTCCAAAATAATTATTAACTTTCTAATGGTAAGATCGGACTCAAATGTGATTTTACAGCTTCGTTAGTCAAACCATTTTTTGTTTTATTACAATTATTTAAAGTCAGTTAATAAATTTTATTGTATTGCTTGAACGGGAAATTGTAAGATTTATGAAAAAATAATTTTAAAAATTATATATATTATTTTACCGCGGAGGAATGCATCATGTCAAGACAAAGTCGAAATGACTTTATTTTGACGTCATGAAAGTCAAAATAAAGATTTTTTATTAGAAAATTGGACTGTTTATTGACGTTAATAATCAAAACAAAGTCATTTTGATTTTTTGTCGACTTTTGTATGTTCTTTGGATACTTGTTTAAAAAAAAGCTTTCTTCGTTTATATCTACATATTTTTTTCGTCTATTATTAGGGGAAGAAGTTTTATATTATATTATTTACTTTTTTTTACATTAATTAGAGAAAATAGACAAAACAGAGCATGGATCGAATCCATCAGATACAAGATAAGATTCTGAAAAAAAACCAAAAAGAAACCTTACTATGAGGGGGGGGAGATAAAAATTATTTTTTGATCAATCACGAGTCATTTTAATGTTATTTTGATGTTATCGTGACATGTTCTGCTTCCTAAGGAACACACGAAAGTCAACAAGAAATCAAAATGACTCTATTTTGATTCTTAACATCAATGAACAGTCAAATTTATAACAAAAAAGTCATCGTTTTTACTTTCATGACGTCAAAATAAACTCATTTTGACTTTCTCTTGAACTTGGTGTCTTTCTCGGGTTGGGATTATTCCATATTCACGAGTGCAACGCAGCACATGTGATTTTTTGTAAATATAGGGGTGAGTGCAGCGAGGACGGTGTCGAACAAAAAATGAGTATGATGCTTTGCCGTATTCTTTCCTATTTTCTCGCGAAGGAAACTAGTCAACGAAGAAAGCCGTGCGATAATTGTGCTGCCGATCTCTTCCACAGAGGGACAACTTAGGTCGCGTGAGCTTGGCTTCTTCTCGTGTGTGTAAGTGTGCGTGTGTGCGCGCCTCAGATTACGTGCGTGTGTGGTAAAACTCGTCGAAAGAAGGTTGATGAGCAAGCATATAATGTCTAGAAAGAACGATCACTCGCGATCTTGGGAGTACTTTTCCGGGTTAGTCCAGGCGTGCGTGATGACGTAGATGATGAAGAGGTAAGAGAAGATGTGCGCGTGTAACACAGGGTAGACAATAGGGACCATCGAGAGGGAGAACTGCTACTAGGAGCGAGCAAGAGCGATGGCGCAGGACGACGACGTTTGTTTCATGAATATTTTAACATCCGTCGACGACGGTAAATACCGAGCGGCGTTTTTTTTTTGAGCCAGTCGATCCAAATACGCGTTCCTCGCGACAAGAGGTTTCCTACGAAGAATATTACGGCGACAATGTCGGATGGTGAACGATAGGAGAGAAATTTACCTGAGAAATGTTGTTTTAGCAAGTATAAGTATACTGAAATTGTAGAAATTATTAAGATTGTGTAAATATTCTTACGTACGTATATT